GGATGAAGAGTTGAGTTGGTCGAAGTTTGAGTGGTCAAATAATACTGAGATAGAGACAACTCCGATAGATATTGACTTAAAGAATGATATGACTCAAGATCCGGAACCAACTGTAGAAGCTGAACCAAACTCCACCGAACCAGAGCCCCCTTTCTCTTCAGTATCCGCAGGCCCATCTCCTGAGAATATCTCTGAGGTAAGCACTCCTTCACATATAAGCAATTTAGATACTCCTGGTGGCTATAATTTACCTTTCAGGCATAATCGAGGCAAACCGCCAAGCAGATACTCTCCAGACATTGAAAAACGAAGATCAAGATATCCAGTTGCCAACTATGTATCCACCACGAAGTTATCTGATCCACTGAAAGCTTTTGTACATGTTCTCTCTTCTAATCATGTTCCAACAGGAATTCAGGATGCCTTATCAGATTCCAAATGGACTCAAACAATAAAAGATGAGATGGAGGCACTAGTAAAGAATAACACGTGGATACTAGTTCCATTACCTAAAGGAAAGAAGACAGTAGGATGCAGATGGGTATTTTCCATCACACACAAGGCAGATGGATCCATTGAGCAGTACAAAGCAATGCTAGTCGCGAAGGGGTATACACAGACATATGGGATAGACTACCAAGAGACGGTTTTACCAGTTGCTAAACTAAACACTGTTAGAATACTATTGTCCCTCACTGCTAATCTTGACTGGCCACTACATCAGCTTGATGTGAAGAATGCATTTCTTCATGGCGACCTCAAAGAAGAAGTCTATATGGACCTCCCTCCGGGCTATACAGAGTCTTCACAAAATGTTGTGTATAAATTGTAGCGAGCATTATATGGATTGAAGCAGTCATCTCGAGCATGGTTCGGACGATTTAGTGTGGCAATGAAGAAATATGGATTCAAACAGAGTGACTCAGACCATACACTCTTTCTTAAGCATAATGGAGGCAAAGTAATTGCATTGATAGTGTATGTGGATGACATGATTATCACAGGGGATGATAAAGAAGAGATTTCCAGAATTCAGAAACAGCTAGCGTCTGAGTTCGAGATAAAGAACTTGGGAGGCCTCAAGTATTTTCTGGGAATTGAAGTGGTTAGATCAAGACAAGGCATATTCCTATCCCAAAGGAAATATGTGCTAGACTTGCTAGCTGAGATGGGGATGTTGGAATGTAAACTAGCAGATACTCCTATCACTCAAAACCTTAAGCTGAGTGAGTGTTCAGATCAAGTGCCAACAGATAAAGGGAGATATAAAAAATTAGTTGGCAAACTTATATACTTGTCTCATACTCATCCAGATATTGCCTATGCCGTAAGTGTAGTTAGCCAGTTTATGCATAGCCCTAGCAAAGACCACATGGATGCTGTGACTCGAATACTTCGATATCTAAAGTCCTCACCAGGGAGGGGACTGATGTTTTCAAAGAATGATCACTTGAAAGTTGATGGCTTTACAGATGCAGATTGGGCAGGGAACATTTCAGATAGGAGGTCTACCTCAGGCTACTTCATGTTTGTAGGCGGTAATCTCGTTACATGGAGAAGTAAGAAGCAAAAAGTGGTATCATTATCGAGTGCTGAAGCGGAGTTTCATGGAATGACAAAAGGACTTTGTGAACTCCTCTAGATCAAAAAACTGCTCGCTGAACTTGGCTTTGTTCCTATTACTGAGATGGATCTATACTGTGACAACAAAGCTGCCATTGCCATATCTCATGACCCGGTTCAACATGATAGAACAAAACATGTGGAAATAGATCGACACTTCATCAAGGAAAACTTGGTAGCAAAGACAATTCGTTTTCCTTTCGTAAAGTCCGAAGATCAACTAGCAGACATACTCACAAAGGCAGTTTCAAGCAAGGACTTTCACAACTCACTTGACAAGTTGGGCATCAGAGACCTGTATGCATCAACTTGAGGAGGAGTGTTGGTGTGAGCTGTTAGAAATCTTTTTCTGGAAACATAAATCATATATAATTGCATCATTTTAAGAGAATAGAATTAGGCAATTTTGTATAGAATCAATTAATTAGCTACAGATTTGTGATTATCCAAAATTAGGAGCTGGAGGCCCCCTTCTTAGTTTGTAAAGAAATCTTTAGGTTCATGAATCTTGCACTTCACTGTTGTCTTTGGTTACTCTACTAATATCAGTCAAACCTCGCAAATGTGCCATGGCTTAAATTTTGGTAAACCCCTTGAACCTAACAGCTGAACCTGTTTTATATGATTTTAACTACTGTGCTATACCTGGCTCATCCTCGATTTTAGACCCAGCTCTTTGCATAGAACTGAAGAAACTTTCTTACTACACAACTTACATGATGCGGTAGGGATGGAGAGGATCTAGTTAGTGCCCTCAAGTATGGTCAAGCCCCATTCTGCAGTTGTCAGAACAAAAGAAAAATCGGGGAAAACAAAAAAATATAAAATAAAAATTAAGGCACATTTAAACTAACCTGAATCTTTCTCAACTGGAAGACAGTCAAAAGAAATCCGATAATAATTTAACTAGCCGTGAATATCACTGTAATTTTGGTGTCAAATGTCGATGATTTCTTGAGGTTAGTAGCAAAACCAGTGTGCAGATAGGAGATCAATGACCGAAATGTGGAAGATTTTGGATAGTAAAAATGATGATGGAAAGGTCTGAGACTCCAAGTATGGTTTGGGTGTGGACTAAACATCCACATGAGCCATTGCAATAACTTGGCCCAACAACGCCATTCTTTTTCCAAATGACAGTCACAAATAATAACCCACAAAAATGAGTTTTTTATTTATTGGAAAATGAAAGAAAATGAATGATATAAAAATTGAGTAACTAAGAAGAAGGATGAAGATTTTCTGAAATAATATTCAATATACAACTTCCATATTTGGCCGGTATATTAGAAAATATATATAGCAAAAGTGTTTTGACCATTTTCATCAACCACTACCTACTTGCCATTGCCATACTTTTAGATAGATTATATGGCATTACATATGGCCATACTTTGATAGATTTTTCAATACACAAATACATTAAAATTTACTCCAAACAAGTGCTACAAAATACACTATCTTTGGACAGCAAAAGTATCAACTAGCATTAACATTCCTCCTTGAGACTTTTGCTGGAAACACCAAGGCAACTCCTCAATGTTTCGAACCTTCCTTTGGACAAAGCTTTTGTTAAGATATCAGCATATTGGTCACTTGAATTGCAATGCACAAGCACAAGCTTCATCTCCAGCCTCTCTTGAGCTTCCCTAATTGAATGATACTTAATCTTTATGTGTTTTGTTCTCTCGTGGAATATTGGATTTTTTTACCATTGCAACTGTTGATTTGTTGTCACAATAAAAGACTGTTGCATCAAATTGTATGTGTTCAAGATCCTCCAACATTTTCTTTAACCAAACAGCTTGGTTTGTCACCTCAGATGCTGCTATATACTCTGCTTCAGCAGTTGATTGTGTCACAGTCTTTTGCTTTATCGAATTCCAGCACACAATGTTTGAACCAACATAAAACACATAGCCCGAGGTACTCTTCATGTCATCTGCTGAACCTACCCAGTCACTATCTGTATAACCAGTTAAAACCAAGTCCTCTGATCTCTCGAACCAAATCTCCAGATTCTCACTTCCTTTTATGTACCGAAGGACTTTTTTTGCCGCTTGAAAATGTAATTCACTTGGCTCTTGTCTGAATCTGGATAGCACATTAGCAGCATAGGTGATATCTGGTCTTGTTGTTATAAGATATAGCAAGTAACTAGTTAGACTTCTATAGATCTTTTCATCCACTCTCTTAGTACCTTCTTTCTTCATTAACTTTAGATTTTGTACTAATGGAGTGCTAACCGATTTGCAATTTTCCATATGGAACTTCTTCAACACTTCCTTGATATATCTCTTTTGACAAACAAAGATACCTTCCTTAGTTTGTTCAATTTCCATTCCAAGAAAATACTGCATCTCACCAAGATTTGTCATTTCAAAACCTTTCTTCAATTCCTCCTTCACTTCTTCAATCAAGGTGCAATTGCTACCGGTTCAAATCATCAACATATAAGGATATGATGATCATTCCTTCTTCCACATATTTTATGTAAAGTGTTTGCTCATTTACACTTTTAACAAATTCCAAGCAGCACAAGTGATCATCAATGCGGCTGTACCAGGCCTTTGGAGCCTATTTTAAACCATACAGAGCCTTTTTTAATAGATATACTTTGTCTTCCTCACCTGCCACTGCAAAGCCTTCCGGTTGTTCAATGTAGATTACTTCATTTAAGTACCCATTTAGAAAAGCAGATTTTACATCTAACTGATGTATCTTCCACATTCTCTGAGCTGCAATTGCAAACAACAACCTGATAGTTTCATATCTTGCAACTGGTGCAAATGTATCAGCAAAATCGATTCCAAACTGCTATACATACCCCTTCACTACCAATCTTTGAACTTGTTTATTGATCCATCAGGGTTCATCTTGGTTTTGAACACCCACTTGACCCCAATCACATGCTTATCAACTCGTCTGTCACCTAGTTCCCAAGTCTCACTCTTTTCAATCGTATTTAGTTCTTCCTTCATTGCTGCTAACCAGTCCTGTCAACTCACAGCATCAGCAAAATTCGATGGCTCCAGTATGGCAGAGTTGCATCTAGCATATACATCAGCAAGGGGTCTTGTCTTTAGCACAATATTTTCTGAGTCTGAATCACAATCCTGATCTAGACCAATCGGTTCCTCTCCATTTGTGATAGTGTCCTCAATTTCATGAGCAACCAGCCTTGGAACTTGCTGGTTTTCCAGGCTTCTTGTATCCCAATTCCAGGTAGCACTTTCATCAATTTTAATATCTCTACTAGATATTATCTTCTTGGTTTGTGGAATATAAACTCGATATCCTTTTGCATTACTACAATAGCCAACAAAACACCAACCTTAGCTTTTTGGCTAAGCTTATCCCTCTTTGCTTCAGGTATATGAGTGTAACAAACACTTCCAAAAACCTTTAAATGTGTCACATCTGGTTTTGTTCCATACCAAGCTTCATAGGGAGTTTTTCTTTTCAATGCTTTAGTAGGAAGTCGGTTTAAAATATACACAGCTGTGCTAATAGCTTCTGCCCAGAATTCTTTCTGAAAATTCTTTTCAAACATGAGACATCTTGTCATCTCCGTGACTGTTCTTCCTTTCAAAGATGCCATTTTGTTGAGGTGAGTATGGGATTGTGAGCTGATGATTTATCCCCATATCATCACAAAAATTATCAAACTGGCCGCATTTATACTCAGTTCCATTATCAGTCCTAATGGCCTTTATCTTGCTGTCACATTCATTTTCCACTTATTTTTTTGAATTTCTGAAATATAGCAGCCACATCTGATTTTAGTTTTAGAAAAAACACCCAGCACATTCTGGTTGAATCATCAATAAAGAGTATAAAGTACTTGTTGCCGTTTAGTGTCTGTGTATTCATTGGACCACACACGTCAGAATGTATCAATTCCAATTTATTCATAGCTCTCCTTGACAGATTTTTAGGAAATGGCATTCTGGACAGTTTGCCCTTTTGACACACCTCACATATACATGTTTCATCACCTACATCTGGAATGTTTTCAACAAGTTCCAAATTGTGCAATTGCTTCAATGATGTGTAATTAACATGACCAAATCGTTTGTGCCATAAAGAGGAATCAACCACAGTGTAAGAAAGTGCCTGATTTTTCACATTTTTCCATTCCAATGGAAAGCTTCTTTATTTCATTTTGACAGACATTAGCTCCTGATTTTTGAATCAAATATGGTACAGCTATTTCCTTTGAAGATCAATGTATATTGCTTCTCAATTAATTGACCAACACTAATTAAATTCTGGTCAATTTCAGGCACAAAAAGAACATTAGAAATGAGTTTGGTACCTGATGGTGTTTGAACTGAAATCACACCTATTCCCGTGACTTCCACATGTTCTCCATTGCCAGCTTTAACCTTTGATCTATAGGCATCAATCAACTCGACAAAGATACTTGCATCTGATGTCATATGATGAGTACAGCCACTGTCTAACAGCCAAGTCGCCACACTGCTGCTGGCTTTAAAATTGATGGCTGTGAACAAGTGCTCTTCCTGGTTTTGTTGCTGATTTTCAGCCACTTGAGCTTGAGGCTTTGATTGCTTGTCTTTTATGCTTTTACAAACCTTTTGAATATGTCTAAATTGCTTACAACCTCGGCATTGAACTTCAGGTCTGTACCAGCACCATTTGGGAGAGCGCCCTGTCTTTTTGCAATGAACACAAGGTGGATTAACACCACTTTTGCTTGCACCTTTGTTCAGTGGCCTGCAAAGCATTCACCAATTCTGATAAGGTGATGGTAGACAAGTCTCTTGAATCCTCAAGAGATGAAATCTTTGCCTCAAAATTTTCAGGCAGGCTGATCAACACTTTCTCCACAATTCTTCTGTCAGGCAGATCATCTCCCAGTAGCCTTATCTGATTTACAACCTTCAACAGCCTATTAGCATACTCGTTAACTGATTCTGAGTCTTTCATCTTCAAAGTTTCATACTCCCTCCTCAGGTTTAACACTTGCATTTGCCGTGTTCTTACATTGCCCCTAAATTCTTCCTTCAAACTATCCCAAGCTTCCTTGGCCGTTTCACAAGTGATTATCCTTGTGAAGATGGCATTAGAAACATCATATTGGATGCATGAGAGAGCCTTAAACTTCTTAGCAATTTCTTCACTACGTTGCTTAAGTTGAGCAATTGTTGGATTTGCTCTAAGTGCTGGTGGTTCACTTCTAGTTTTAGTTATCTCCCACAGGTCATATGCCCTCAGGTAAGCCTTCATTTTTGCTGCCCAAAAATCATAATTTTCACTAGAGGGTAGAGATGCTGAGAAACCACTTGAAGCCATCCTTAAAACTCTCACGAATCAGTTGGTTGTGTTGTGAAGGTCTGCTGGTTTTTTCTTGAACCTACCTCTCGTTTTTCTCAGCTTCTTCTAAGATCAGATCAACTCTGATACCACTGATAGAAAATTGAGTAACTAAGAAGAAGGATGAAGATTTTCTGAAATAATATTCAATATACAACTTCCATACTTGGCTGGTACATCAGAAAATATATATAGCAAAAGTGTTCTGACCATTTTCATCAACCACTACCTACCTGCCATTGCCATACTTTTAGATAGATTATATGGCATTACATATGGACATACTTTGATAGATTTCTCAATACACAAATATATTCAAATATACTCCAAAAAAGTACTACAAAATACACTATCTTTGGACAGCAAAAGTATCAACTAGCATTAATAATGAAAGAATAATAAAAAACAATAATTTAATTTTAAGCTAATTTAAATCAACATGTCCTCAGCATATTGCTGTCCCTTTTTTTTGATTAATCACGTGTCTTCATTGTCACCTGTGTCTCTCCACGTTGTTGCTTCATTGGGATGTAACTAATAATGCATCGTACATTCCTAAAAGAAGAAAGGAAAACAACTAGATTTGGCTAATTGATCAACTACTGCTTGACGACCAAGAAATATGGATAATATGCGGTGGGGGCCCTCAAGGTTGGGGTTCAACCTTTTAATATGGATAATAAATGAGAAAAATATTGTGAGTAGAGAAACAGAGGAGAGTACGAACTTAGTTGGAAGCCTACAGAATTCTTGTCATTTAGTAGTGCTTATTGATTGAAGTTGTTGGTTGTCGCTATAATGCGGTGGTAATAATTGATGTTTTACTTCATTTAAGCATCAGATGTACGTGTAATTTTATATCATACAAATCTTATCTCTAAACAATAACAAAAACTTTCCTTCTAAAGATTAAAAATTTTGTATTTTTGATTTGTGATTGAGATGTATCTTGATAAGAAAATTCAGCTACATCAATTTTCGTGCTGCTAAATTCGAAGAACGAGGGTAAAGACAAGTAAGCTAGAATTAACATTTCCTCCAAGAACCAGATAGGCATGGTTTTCTTTGCGAAAATCTCCTCTCTGCCAAAAGTAATTCTATGTAGAGCCTGAAAATTTTAGATGTTTCATTTATGACTAAGCTGTTACCTAGTTATTCATTTGCTGCTACTTTTGTCTTGAAAGCTATTTTAATTGGAATATTTATTTTGTTTCTGATTTCAAATAATTTGTATGAAGACTATATATCTTGCTCTTCTGTGGAGCTTCAATTGACATTTACCCATTTCTATAATATTCACCTGTTTTATCTGGCATTGCTTATCTAATCTTGTAAGAAATTTTCTTGAATTTGCATAATATTTTGTAATGTAATTGAATCTGAATAAAAGTAGAATTGTTTGCTATTGGATCTTTTTTAAGGAATTTATAAACCCTGCTCTTCATGCTTTCCATTAGGACCTCCATATTTTTATGCTATAATTTGCTTTAGAAAAATTGTTGAGATCAACTATCTTCAGTTGATGTGTGAATGAGAGACATAAGTAAACATGTGGAATCCTTTATTACCTTGAAACTAAACGAAGCCTAAAACAACTTGTGTACGAGTATTGTACACGATTATTGATTATTTAACATCAAAGTTGTTGGAAAATGGTTATTGTTAGTGAAATGGGTCAACTTTGAGCCCAAGTTTCAGTGGGAACCGTACCTTAATAATAATGGGACTAATGGGACCTAGAATATTCATGTTCTACTCGGCGACGTGATTAAGGTGATATATTTATTTATTGAAAATCACTTAGAATTGAATGAAATATTAAATGTCAAATACTTAAAGTAACTCACTTGAAATTATGAATTAGTGAAGAATTTGATTTGCCAAACACTTATCATACATAGGAAAGTTAGGAAATTTTGTTGTGGTCTATATGGTGGAAGTTCGGGAATTAGGTTTGGGCCCCAAGGGGTATCAATAGTTTTTGAAAGGGGAGAGACCTATATTCTATCGGGTTCGATCATAAACCCACACTTGCAAGCCGTCGTCGTCAACTGACCTGCTCGCTTGGCTCAGCACATGCCAGTGTTCGAGTCTGTCCGATGCGGGTGGGTCCTTGTACTACATTAACTTTTTTAGACAAAATTTAATTGAATCTTTGGGTCAAATTGTAAATAATCAAATTCTTGGGTATTTAGAAATTTAATTTTTGGCAGTATTGAACTAAATTGTCTATTTGGAATTTGGAGGTTGTCTGAACAGTAATGACTGTTCTGAAGAGGCTTGGAGTATGTTTGAATGGCCAAGAACATGTTTATCAATGGTTGCCCTGCTACCAGAATAATTACTCCATTTTCATTGCAAAAATTCTCTGCTTTGAATCTTACTCACTCACTCTCTCTTTTGATATTATTTTTAAAGTAAAAACATTTCATTATGTTCGTTGAAATTCCTGCAGATTGCTGTGCTACTTTCGTAGGAGACGAAATTCGTTCTATCTTGGGAAACGATTGCTGAACGCCTTTAGCATCTTTGAAGACGAAAAATTCGTTTTAAGAAAATATCGTGAAGTCGGTGGGCTCGAATTAATTTTTCTAATTCTGTTGGTCGTACTATTATGCTGTACAAATTACGTTACGATAATTCTGTCAAATTGTTTGGAAGGAGAAACTTATACTCCAGAGTCAACAATCTTAAAATGAATTTTGTTTGTATTTTGATTTTTTCTGTTTCTACTCCTTTTTATTGTTTATCTTCTGATTATGTTTACAAAATGGCAACTTCAGGTATTATACTCCCAAATACGACTGAAGAAAAATTAGAGAAATTTAATGGGTTAAATTTTAAGCGTTGATAATAGAAAATACTTTTTTATCTGACAACATTAAGTTTGACAAAATTTTTGAAAGAAGATGAGCCTTCATACATTTAGGAAGAAAGTGATGTTGAGAAATTGATTACGGTTGATGCATGGAAGCATTTCGATTTTCGGTGCAGAAATTATGTACTTAACAGACTGGACAACAGATTATGTAATGTGTACTACAATGGGAAGTCTGCGAAGGAACTATAGGAATCTTTGGACATCAAGTACAAAATCAAAGATGCCGGCATGAAGAAATTCATTGTTGGTCTTTTTTGGATTACAAAATGGTTGACAGCAAAACTGTCATATTCCAAGTTCAAGAACTTCATATCATACTCAACGACATCCATGGTGAAGAAATGAAACTAAGCGAATCATTTCAAGTTATTGCACTGATTGAGAAATTACCCCATTCTTGGAAGGACTTCAAGGTAGGACATCGATCCAAGTGTTGTCAGAACCCAAAGAATGATAAGGGAAAAATTCATCAAGCCAATGTAACAAACATGACAACCTTTTTGATATGTTCCAAGACATAAATCTTTTTTAAGTCATATCCGAATGTAATTTATCTAGAAATACTATGGAATGATGGGTGGATACTGGAGCTATACGTCACCTATGCTTAAACCATAGGATGTTCTCTACCTACAAAGTGATGGATCATGATGAACAACTCTACATGGAAAACTCTTCACTTCCAAGGTTGAAGGATATGGAAATATAGTGCTAAAAATGACAAGTGGAAAAGAGCTTACTTTTAATGATGTTCTTCATGTGCCCAATATTCAAAAAAATTTATTATTCGATTCCGTATTAATTAAGAACGGGGTTTAAGTCAGTATTTGTTTTAGACAAATTTGTACTTACAAAAAATGAAATGTTTGTAGGAAAATGCTACTTGAATGAGGGGATCTTTAAATTGAATGTAATGACTATTATACCTCCCATTATGAATAAAATTACATTTTATTTTTATTTCCTTTAGTCGTTTAATATTTGACATGAACAACTAGGACATATAAACAGCAAAATTTCGCGTAGACTAATCAAATTGGATTTACTACCAAAGTACGATTTAGATCCTAATCACAAATGCGATATATTTGTAGAAGCCAAAAAGGCATGTTTACCCTTTCGTTCTGTTGAAAGAAGTGCCAAACCCCTTGATTTAATTCACAGTTATAAATGTGATTTAGAGTTTGTTTAAACTACAAGTACTTCATTACTTTTATTGATGATTGCACTCAATATTCCTATGTATATTTACTTAAAAGCAAATACGAAGTAATTGAAGTGTTTAAACACTATAAATTAGAGGTTGAGAATCAACTTAAAAAAAAAAAAAGATAAAGATAATAAGAAGTGATTGAGACGGTGAATATGATTCTTCATTTGAACATTTTTGTTTGGAGAATGAAATTATTCATCAAACTACCACGCCTTATTCTCTTAAATCTAATGATATTGCTAAATGCAAGGATTGAGTATTGAAGGAGATGATGAATGTTATGTTGATAAGTTCTGGATTACCACGGAACTTGTGGAGGAAAGCTTTGCTTTCTGCCAATTATGTTCTTAACAAATTACCACATCAAAAAATGTATAAAGTACCTTATGAGTATGGACAGGTCACAAACCTAACTATAAATACTTGAAGGTATGGGGATGTTTGGCTAAGGTAACAGTTCCTAAACCTAAAAAGGTTAAGATAGGACCTAAAATCATTGATTGTATATTCATTGGTTATGCCTACCACAGTAGTGCGTACAAATTTATTGTATATAAGTTTGAAAAACCCGACGTGCATGTTAGTATGATTATTGAATCAAGGGATACTACATTTTTCAAAAATTATTTTCCTTATCACATGTAAAGTGAATCAAATTTACAGAAAAGATCTCGTGAAAATGAAGAGGCTATATATCAAGAATCTATAAATGAACAACCTAGACACAGTAAGAGGGCTATGACATCAACATCCTTTGGGCCTGACTTTTTAACATATTTGTTAGAAAATGAACCTCAAAGTTTTAAAGAGGCTATGTTATCGACTAAAGCTTCATATTGGAAAGAAGCTGTTCATAGTGAAATAGAATTCATACTACAAAATTATACATGGAAATTAGTAGAGCTTCCTTCTGATAATACGCCATTGGGGTTTAAACAAATTTTCAAAAGAAAAATAAAAGCAGATAGATCAATGGACAAATATAAAGCTAGACTTATCACTAAAGCTATAAGAAAAAAGAATGTCTTGATTATTTCAATACCTATTCTCCTGTGACTAGAATTATTTCCATACGTATGCTTATTGCGATAGCAACTTTGAATAGTTTGGATATACATCAAATGGATGTTAAAACGGCTTTCTTGAATGGAGAATTAAATGAAGAAATTTATATGATGCAACCTGAAGGATTTGTAGACTCAGGACAAGAAAAGAAAGTGTGTCGACTTGTTAAATCACTTTATGGATTAAAGCAAGCTTCTAAGAAATGACATGAAAAATTTGACACGGTTATGATGTCAAATGGGTTCAAAATTAATGAGTGTGACAAATGTGTTTATGTCAAGAGCACTTCAAATGGACATATCATGGTATGTTTGTATGTAGATGACATGTTGATTATGGGTAACAATGATACAACAATTCAAACTACTAAAAGGGTGCAAACAAGTAATTTTGAAATGAAAAATTTAGGTATGGCCAATGTTATATTAGGAATTAAAATTCCTAGAACATCCGATGGTCTCATATTATCTCAATCGCATTATATTGAGAAGATTCTTGATAAATTCAAGAAATATGATATTATTCCTATGAAAACACTTATGGATGCTAGTATGCATCTTGTTTCCAACACTGGTGACAGTAAATCTTAATCGAAATACTCTCATATTATTGGCAGTTTAATGTATGTCATGAATTGCACTCAACCTAATATTGCTTATCAATTAGTAGGCTCAATCGATATGCAAACAATCCAAGCACTGATCACTGGAAGGCAATTGTTAGAGTTTTAGGATATTTAAAACATACCAAACACTTTGGATTACACTATTCAAGATATCCTGTAGTACTTGAAGGATACTGTAATGCAAATTGGATATCGGATACTAAAGACTCTAAGTCAACAAGTAGATATGTCTTTAGATTTGGAGGTGCTCTAGTATCATGGAAATCTTCAAAACAGACATGTATAGCTAGATTAACAATGGAATCTGAATTCATTGCATTAGACAAAGTTGGAGAAGAAGTTGAATGGCTACGAAAATTTTCAGAAGATATTTCATGTTAGACAACACCTATGCCTGCTATATGTATCCATTACAATAATCAATTAGCAATTGGTAGGCACAAAATGCTATGTATAATGGTAAATCTCGACATAAACATTGTAGACACAATAGTATTAAACAATTGCTCTGTACTGGTATTATCTCTATAGATTATGTGAAATCAAAACAGAATATTGGGATCTGCTGACTAAAAGTTTGACGAGAGCAAGTCGAAAGTTCATCGAAGGGGATGAGGTTCAAACCGATAAAATAATCAAAAGTTTTCATGGTTGCAACCCAACCTAATTTACTGGAGATCCCAAGATATAAGTTCAATGGGACAACTGAACTGTGAGAAACTTAGTACGCATTGAGAAGATTTTACACCTACCCATTTCTATGATGAGCCAGTGTCTAGCTACCACGAAAATAGGTTAAGTTACGCTTTTAATGATTTTTATATCTCGATTCGTTCAAGTGGAGTATAACATAATACTCTTTATAGAGATTAACTATGTGGGTGAGAAGGGGCCACCTTTAAGAGAATTAGGCAGAGATAAATTCTCTAAAAACACTTATCAACCATGAAGTGTCCAATGCCAAAATTGACACAAACGTGAGAACTAATTGTGTTCGAAGGGAACTGTGTGACTTTTATTGTCTAGATTTACATGAACAGCTGACTGTTCAAAGCAACTTGCAACTTATTGGCTAAGTAAATCCAGTAGATTTTACTAGGAAAAGTTCGAAGTCTTTGGCTACTTATCCCAATGAGTTTTCTTCAATCTTACTTTGGAAAAAAACATATCAGATGTTGTTTAGAAAATTGGTTATTGTTAGTGAAATGGGTCAACTTTGAGCTCAAATTTCAATGGGACTTGTACTTTAACAACAAGACCTAGCATATTCATGATCTACTCTGCGAGATGATTAATGTGATATATTTATTTATCGAAAACCGTTTAGAATTGAATAATATATTTAACGTCAATGTAACCCACTTGAAACTATGAATTAGTGAAGAATTTGATTTGTCAAACACTTATCCCACATAAGAAAGTTAGAAAACTTTGGTGTGATTTATACGATGGAAGTTTGGGAATTGAGTTTAGGATCCAAGGGGCACCAATAGTCGTTAAAAGGAGGAAGACCTATATCCTATTAGGTTTGGTCATAAACTCACACGCACGAGCCGTCGCCGTCCGTCCAGCAGGTTCCATATGAACATAAGCTCGTGTCCAAGTCCAGTCCGGTCCGTTTCGTGTTTAGATGCAGGTGGATCCTTGCACTATATTAACTTTTTGGACAAAATTTATTTGAATTTTTGGGCCAAATCGTAAGTAATCAAATTCTTGGTTACTTAATAAAATTTAATTTTTGGCTTATTTTCGAGTAATTTTTTTTGTTTGGATGGTCTTTTAACCGATTAAACAGTTGTCTGTTAATTGACTAAACAGCCGACCGTTAATTGACTTAACCGACGCAGTATTAAATTAAGCTATCTGTTCAGTGTTTGGAGGTTCTCTTAACAGTGAGGAATATTCTAAAAAGGCTTGGAGTATGTTCGAATGGCCACGAACAAGTCTATAACTAGCCTATCCCGT